ATTCATTGTTAATAACTTTGGTGAGTTTCTTCGAGTTAAAAAGTTGACTTGTTCAATTAATAAAAACATTTTTCGCCTAGAATCAAAGAAAGGCATTTCGTACAAATTTAAAATCCAATCAACTTTATCTGGTAAAATTTATACATCGAGTATTGATGACTGTTTGCATTTTCAAACTAATAATGCCAATTCAAGGTCAGTGAATTTCATAAAAGTGAATCTTTTGGTATCATCAAAACTTATCATCTTTCAGATATGTTATAACATGTAAAACTGGGTATTATTTATGCCTTGGAATCGCTTATGGAGATTCATTACCAGAGGAAGATAAAAATGGAATGGATTGCATGTTGTTCGACAACTCAGATCGCAATTCAACTAAACTATTGGCAGAAGTTTCTTTACGAGAAATAAGGGAATCTTATTTCAATTTGAATGGAAGTCGATTCAACTATTCCGATATTAAATTTGCTGTTGTTGATGTGACTATTGAAGATGATATAAAATCCGTTGAAAAGAAACCAAAAGAAGAAATTATTCGTCAAGAAAAGCCTAAATTGAGCTTAACTCTCGTATTTTTCATCATACTTTCCATTATTTCCATATTGATCAATATTGTGATATTTGTTAAGTTTGCATTAGACTATAAACTGTCTCAACGTCCAAATCGTCCTCTTGGTGATTCAGTTTCAATTAAATTGAATGACTTGAACAACTGATTTTATAAAACACAATATATCAAATGTTTGAAATATTACAGAATATGTTATGAGAAATTAAATTTCAAAATCAATGCAGTTATGTATTCATGTATTCGCACTAAAATTTCGAATAAAAAGTACAATCGAAAGAATTCCTCTTTTTCCAAATCATTAACTGTAATTGAAACTTGAAGCTGTAAAATCAGTTCGGCCAGGTATTTCGTTTGCATAACGTTCTCAAGCCCAGAAAAATCTACAGGGAACATTGAGTGAAAGAATGCTTGATACTGGATTAATGCACAGTAGACCCAGGCCTTATTCACACGAGTGTTGAAGACGAGGGTCGAATTTTATCCCAAAAAATCTGATGTCTTTGGTTAACCTCGTGATGGCTCCTGATATTTCGGTTGAATTTTTTTCACATCCATTGAATTATTAAGCAAACCTTGTTGTATGAAGCCTTGGCTTCAATGGGTGTACCTGTTTTATCTAGCGTGATTGAAATAAGTTGTGAGGATGTGAAAAGTGAACTAAAGTAGTGAATTCGTTATAAAATGTTCATAGCAATAAAAATTTCTCGTTAGGCAGTTTACCTTAATCCTCTTAACCTCCTCAATACCAGTTTGGTCTTCATCCTTTCATTCATACTCTACTCTGTTACTCATCAATCGGATTTGAACTTTCCCAATTGTTTTCAAACCCTAGTTAGAATTCATTTTTTAAGTATTATATTTTGATCTTCCTTGAAATCTGAAAATTCTGTTTTTCACTTGTTTAATAAAAGTTAATTTGATAAGTATCAGAATTTGCTTATGAGATCTTATTTATTGCTTAGACTTTCAGTTAATCCCTGACAATCTCACATATGATCTGGTGCTCAGTTTATAAGCATTTTAATCCTTGATTTGATTGAACATTGGATTGTGACCCGAAAAGGCAACAGTAGCGACTTGTTACAGATTGAATAACTTTTGTCTTTCCTCCTTTTATTTAAGGAAGAGGGTGTTGAGTTGATGTGATGAAGCATGGGGATTGGAGGCGTCATAAAGTAAAGTTACATATCAGTCTTGAGTTGTTACAAAATTGTTTCATTAGATTTTATGTTTTGAGATCATAAAAAATAGCGTCATTAATCAATTGTGATAGTGCTAACAGTATTTCATATTAAACTTTTACGTGCAAAAATGTTCCCAAGTAAATATTTTGTGTTGATATTTTTCATTTTATACAATTTAACCAGATTGAGTGAAGGTAAATTTTTAGTCAAACCTTTTATAATACAATGTAAAGTGATATTTTTCTCCATTTCTTTAAACTGTCATTAAAACAGGTTATTACCAGGGTTACAAGGAATTATCTGGACTAGGGACTAATTTTTTTTTAAAAGCTAAATTAATTTATAAGGTAAGTTTATTCACTTGATCAACTGACTAATTATTTACGAATTGATTAATTTTATAAAGGAATATAATCCAAATAATTATGGAAGTATTGTATTTGAAAAGTATTGGTTAATAGAAGAGTCGGTATTTGGTGATGAAAAAAACAGTATCGTTACATTAATTACCGAAGAAGAAGAAGGAATCGAAACAAAATTGTTTCGTGATTTTAAAACTCAAAAC